TGAGGAGACTGATGTGCTCTATGCGATTAGACAGATGCCACTTATTTATTATGGAACAACACAGACCAGTTCTGAAAAGGGGAAATGTATCAGAACAAAAAACTGGCAGATGCAGAGGAAGACATGATGGGTGGAGGGATTCCATTGAATGGGAATGAGGAAATATCTGTCTCCATCAGGGCATGTAGGAATGCCATACTGCTATTAAAGAAATCGAGGAAAGTTCATATCTGGGTGTCTAATATTAGGCTTCTAAATCCATATTTAGAGACCTAAATTTAAAGAGGTTTGATTCTTCCCAGAAGAGTTAAGCACCCCAGGTTCTTACCAGCTGTAACCATTTAGCCAGGGTCTTTAATAAATTCTGGCTAGACAAGGCCCTGTTTTGTGTTTCAACATAACAGATCCTTAGGAATCTCTCCGTCCCAGAGACACTGGTATGCAGTGTACTTTCAGTAAACAACATTCTATTCAGAAATCACTGCTTTATTCCATACGCTCTTCAGGGGGAGTAATGTGGCTTCTTTGACATTTATAAAGCACCACCTAAGTTCATGGCACTGAATCTTTGTTTTGTCATTTAATCATTATCCTCTATCTCTGGATGTCCTCTCAGCTTAAATAAAAATGTGGGTCTTAAGTTAGGGCACTACTGTTGTGGTGGCATTCTCTGTTATTTATAAGGATCACAAAGCATGCAGGCATATTCTCTGCCGACTAGATCCTGCCACAGGATGAAATTCCAGGACAGATCAGATGAAACAGCAACTTTTTGTTGTAGATCCACTATTTTTCTGATGAATCAGGCATTTTTTAGCACAATGCATAGCGTATGTATCATGACAAATGTAACGCGTGTCCAGGGCCCTAGTAATCCATAAACTCATCCAGGAATTAGGCTTCAGGGTTCTAAGGAATGTGCCCCATCTCCCCAGAGATTACCCTAACCATCAAATTAGTTGCTATTCTAGGGTAGAAGCAGCCACCGTTCCTGCTGAAGCTGCACCACTGTGCAACAGACAGAATCATGGATTCAGAAGAAAAGAAAGCAAGAACAATTATGACTTTCTGTAGCCTCCTGGTTAACACTACCAGGCAAGGGAGAACCTTGAGTTCTGGTCCCTGCTTGCAGGACTAATATATTATGAAATGCATGAACAATCTAGGGAGCAAACCCCCCAGCTCCCTTCCCCTCCTGACGGCCCAAAAATCACTGGTTTAGAGCATCACCTGGCCTCTCTTCCTGGCCCGATGAACCTTTCCTTCCTGCACTGGGGCATAAGATGAACAGGAGGTTCCTACAGCCAAGTCTCCCACTTCTTGGACGAGTGCTCTAACCACTGCAGCTACTATCAGATGGAATGGCAGCACCATCACCTCTGGCACCCTGCCTGAAAAGAGAAACGGCAAGATCAGATCTGCTCATGGAAAGACCTGCCCTTAGGACAGATCCACTTTCCACATGGACAGAGGCCTACAACCTTGAATTTGACACTCAAGCTCCAGAGAGTGGATTTTACATGCTTTGCATGGTGTGGGGTTTTGAATTGTGCTGAAGTAATGATTCTCCCCAGATGCAGCATACAGAGCCTGGGTGACTACTGCTGCATCCACTCAGAGGCCTGGAAACCCAGAAATCGGGTACTGCAGCATCTAATTTGTCAGCACCCAAGTCTTCAACTGGAAATGGCCATGGAAAGGTCAAAGGTATTGTAGGTCTTTACGGAGCCTGAATTGCCTCAACACCTTAAATGAGACTATAAACAGCAAAAAGCAGCTAAGCACAAAACAAGGCCACTTGTCCTCCCATCTCCCATGTCTCCTTTAAGTCATTCATTAACCCCCAACTTATTCATTACAGGCACTAAGTGCAATTTTGCCATTACTAATAAAAGTGCATGAAAACAAATCACACTTAAATCAAAGCGACAGAGTAACCTGTGCTGCCGTTGGTGCTGGGTGGCAGAGAGGATGCCTCCGGGAGAGGTGGCCGCTGGAGTGCCACTGTGTTACGGGTGCGGGAGCTCCTGGGACATTCATCATGCGCGGGCCTCATCTGCGAGCGCATTCCTGAAGGTGCCTGAGATGACAGAGGAAGAGCTCATGGTAAACAGTAACCTGTACCACCGTGCACTCACGGGGCCCTGACTCCAACTCAGTCCAGAGCGTGTTTGGACATGGCCTGTGCACGATGCACCCGTGCTCCAAGCTATGCAGGGCTGGGGGAGCCCAAGGGCCTGCCTGCAGGCCTCCCAAGCCCTGGCTCTAGTCTCCGCTGGAAGTCATGGCTCTGCCCCCAGTGCCTTGCCGCCTTGGGCAGGTGCGTGCCAGTTCCTGCTCAGCTGGGGCAGAATATGGGGCTTTTAAGAAAAGGGACGTGTGCTGCAAGCCCTGCCTCAGCATGAGGGAAACCCCCATTTCCAGCCAGCTCAGTTCAGCCCAGCACATCGTCTCCTCACCGCCGGCAGCAACCGCTTCAACCGCAGCACATGCGCGCTGCGAGTCGCCAGCCCCGGGAGCGCTGACACTAAGTTGCCTTTCACCTACTTTGCCGCTTCTGCGGGGTAACTAGAGTTCAAGCGCCGACGCCGACTGCGCCTGCGCGGCGGCTACAGCTGCAGCCTGCGCTGCCTCCGCCCCTCTTTCCCCCACCCCTAGCCTTCTTCACCCGCAGGCAGTATTCCTTTCCATGCTGGCCCGAGGCCCTTGGGCAGCCCACCCCTCCCATGCTACGCAGAGCCCCCCTCGCCCTTGCTTCTCCACGCAAAACAGAGCAGGTTTCTTCAGAGATGCCCTCTGCCACTAAAATGCCACCCAAAGCGCCGGAGAAAAAAAGGCGGGTGTCCCGGCCAGCAGGTGACAGCCCGTGGTGGCATCCGTGGCTCCCGCCAAAGCAAAAAGGGATCCGTAACGCCTTTGTTCTTCCAGTCTTTCCTGCACCACCCTGGAGAAGTTAGGCTCAGGCTCGCTCAGATACAGCTCGTGCTTGCTCATTGCAGATGTTGGCAAGAAAGCAGCCTGTTTTCACTGCAAGCTCAGCCTGCGCGGGGTTACTCTCGGTCAACTCGGGTGTTGTGCTGCTGGGCTGTAGAGGAAAAGGTGGTTGTGTTGTGCACGTTCGGCCTTCCTTTCTGTGCTGAGATTTTGGTTTCCTTTAAACGCCACGGCCGCTCCCCTCCCAGCCGCGCTCAAAGTGGTTTTTATGGGTCTCTGCGGCGTGAACGAGCCTTGGGTGGTGCACACATCCTATACCCGTGCCGTAAGGCGGTTAGCGTGGCAGCGCTACCTCTCCCAGGAATTTTGGTCCTAGCAGCTAGGAAGGGACTTCTGAAGCCCCCTTAGCCCAGCACCCAGGCATTGCTTCTGAGCTGGCAGTAAAGAATGGACATAGTCGTAGTTAAATAAAAGGAGGCCTCTGTTTGCAGTCTTTTCTGACAGGGAAGCAACGTTCCTTGCAGTTCCACTGGGATGCGACAAAATTAAAAACACCATGTTGGAGAGGGGAAGCCTGGCAATTTGTTAAAAAGCACAACAAAATGAGCAAGGAGTACAGCAATTAAGCCCACATCTGCGGGCCTCTCAACTGGTCTGGATTTTGTGATAAGGGCTAAATTCACACTTCGAGTAAGTGGGCCAAACTCCACTGACTCTGAATTTGGCCTCTAGGGACATTATATAAAACGTAATCCTGTAGTCATTGCACAAACAAATCAGTTTCCTGCCCTTTCAAGAAGGGCCCTACCTATGCCACAGCTGAAGCGCTGTTGTTCAGTGATGCAGGTCCAACAAGGCTCAAGGGCGAACAGGGTGTGGACAGGACCCAGCTGGCCTATAATTTGGTTAATGACATAGACTGCCTTCACAGGGATGCTATTTGATCCTCATTAGGAGTGTATTTTCCACAATTGCCTTTGAAATGATTTTAATACTAGTAAAGATCTGAAGAAAACCAGAAAACTAGTGATATTAGTTATGCAAAAATGATTTGTGCTTGTGGTATTCATAAAAAAAACAACGGTTTTCTTTTTCTTTGTACATAGCGTAGAAAAGAGACACCAGAACTTTAGCTGTCATTAAGTATCTATTAAAAAGGTGAAAGAAACTGCTTTTCTTCAGGAGCTGCATGTTGCTCATAATTCAGCTACTCATTGTTACATAATTTGTATGTTCCTGCATCTCTGCTGCAAAGCAATGTAAAAATAACTACCAAAGACATTTGGAAAAACTGTTCCCACATCTTTTTCACTAGGTACTTTGAGAGATAATTGTCATTCTCTTAAAATACCTATTAATTTGCTCCAGAAAGCCATGTTTCTGCTGGGCGTGTGGTGGGGTGGGTGTTCCCCCTCTTGTGGTCTTTCTTTCTGTCATTGGAAACCCAATCCATTGTCTGGACACAGACTCTGTCTTGAGTCTTTCAGGTTTCTCAACAAAGCTGTTTACCAGATATTCCTATAATGTACAAAAACATCAGTATAATGAAGGAAAATATAGGCTTCATATATAAGGCTCAAACTCCTTAAATGAGACCATAAACAGTCAAAAGCAGCTAAGTACAAAACAAGGTTGTTTGTCTTTCTGTCTCCCATGTCCCCTTAAGAGAGAAAGTAATTCGTTAACCCCAACTTATTACAGGCACAAAATGAAATTTTGCCATTTTTCATCCTCACAAGCTTTGAAGCTATGTTTCCATAACATTTCTTCCTCCTGTTTTGATGATTTTTCCACCTACATTTGCTGTCTTTCACTGCAGGGTATTTAAGGCAAACAGCACAGTTGTTGTTTACTAAACATTTAATTATCTAGGGTCTTTTTACATATGACAGTGATTCCACTGACTTTATAAACACACAAGAACATGTTGCAAGGAGCCTATTATATTACAACTGAGGCAATGTACATTAGAAAAAAAGTATACTTTTTTGAAAGAGTTTATACAACTCTCTATTGATAGTTCCCTTCCTTTAGTTACTGTGAATAACTCTCTGTCAACAGGAACTGATACTGGTGTTACTTCATGAGGCTGGATTTTGTGGTGGCACACTCAATTTAAAGTTCAAGTCCTGGATTTCATGATGGCATGCGGGAGAGGTGTAAACTTTCAGGTGGACTTCAGGAATTTCACTGAATGTTCAGTAACTTGTTTATACTGTTCATTAATACATTGTACAATTTTTCCCTTGCCAGAACTATAGCACAACTCAATTGATCTTGAGGAGCACAATGTGCGAACCAATGTGCTGTGTATCAAACTGAACTCTTCAACTTCAAGAACTATACTGTGTGCACACATCAGCGTGTGCATGCATGCAAGCAAATTTTCCCCCGACTTCAAGAACAGTGCTGCAATCAGTACAGATTTTTTTAAAACACTATTACAGCTGTACCTTAAAAAATTCAGGGCTTATCCCTCAGGCTGTAAAGTCTGTGAGATATACCATATTTTCTCACATGTACCATGTCCCCCAGAAAGAACACACACCTTGTTTTTAAGAGGCAGAATAAAAAAAAGTCCTTGCAGACACCAAGTAGTAGCAGCTAGGGAGCTGAGCCTGCTGCCAGCCCTGTGTGTCAGATGAAGCCTGTGGACTGACCCAGTAAACCAGGTCTGACCCCGTACCCCGGGTCCAGGGCCACATGCTGGGTCCAACCCAGCATATCAAGCCCAAGCCCAGGTAAATTCTGGACCACATGCTCGGTCTGCTCCAGCATGTCAAGTCTTCCCCACATGAGATACCGGACCCCATATGCCAACTCCAGGGCCATGTGCTATTATGACCTGGTGCAGTGAGTCTGACCCCACATGCCAGTGCCAGGGCCACATGCTAAGTCTAACCCCACACAGCGAGTTTAACTCCACTCATGATTTCTGGGGTCACATGTTAAGTTTGACTTGATACACTGAGTCTGACCCTATATACTGGGTCTGACCCCATGCCAGCTTCAGGGCCAAATAGTGGGCCCAGCCCTGCATGCCAGGTCTCACTCAACATGCTGGCCCTAGCCATGGACTGATCCAGGGCACCAGCCCAATCTAGCATGAGGAGTCACATCATATGGCTGAAGGATTCCCTACAGGTTTGAAAATTTGGTGTCAAGGGAGTAGTGGCAATGTTAATTGCCATGACCCCCAAAACTGCAGCAATTAATGCTACCACCAGTCCCCTACCACCACATTTCCAGACCCATGGGGATCCAGATCTTCTCACCTCTAGCATACACCACAAGTTTCACCAGCTCATTTTGATGGAAAAGGTGCTGGTTATATGTATGGGACAAACATCAATGGGATCAGGGTCTGAGTGAGATATGATTGCTGGCTTATTTGTAGGAAAGTGAAATACTATATGAAACTGCTTGACAGTGTCCCTGGAAGTAAACATGCAGGCTGCAGTCCTGAAAGTACAAATGCCCAGGCAGATTTAATTGGCTTAAATGGGGTTCTGCCATTGTATTAGGCTGCTAACAGAGCCAATGTCTTACAGGATACAGAGTCCCAACTTGAAATAAGGGGCCTTAAAGATGCAGTAACTAGAGCTGGTTGGGAAATGGCTTGTTCTTTCCTGAAAAACTGTAACAAACTCTACTTTCTTTTGAAAAATTTCCTTGACATTTCTTGAGCTTTCAATGAAAATATGGAAACTGAAATTTCAGTACATCTCCAAAGCAAAAAACCCAAACAAAATTACCACTGTGATTTGGATGTTCTACAGAAAAACTGAACATTTGCAGTGAAAATGGACTGGGGTTTTTTTCTATTTTGTCATAAATACATGTTCCAGAGAGTTTTATCAGACATGTTCATCAAAAGCCTAAACTACCATATTATGGACAATAGATAGGCATACTGGGGTGATTAAAAAATAAAGGATTTATGCTTTTTCTTCATTTGGTCTGATTTCAGCCATTGTCATATATAGCTGGTATAGCTACACAACTTTGATTTGCATACATACACTAAAGAGTTGTGCTGGTGTATTTATCCCTCTAACAGACACTGGAGGTGAAAATATGCAAAAATCCCCACTATAGACGAGGTTTTTCTAATTTTTCCAGATTTACAAGTTTAAAATAGATCCCCTTCTTATTTTCCGTGATGTGTTTGCAAATATACTCTGCTTATCCCTTCATCACAGGATGGGATGCTACATTAAAACATCAGCATGCATCAGTGCAATTTGAGGGTCGCATTTTCCAGGGTCCTTGAAAAAGCAACTGTAAAATTGGTAAGTGTATGCAACATGGACAGTTGTATGGTTTAGATGAGAACTATGACAAACTGCTAGGAAGTCATTGTTTCATCTTTAATACATTTATTTCATGTCCATCTGAAACACAAAGAAAGAATGAGAACTGACTGAGAGCAATAAAAGAAACCCCCCAGGCATTGCGTATCATGCAAAGCTGCATGTTTGAGCAGGCAGTTTTTTTGCTGTTGAGCTAATGAACAAGAAAAAATGATTCTTAGCAAATAATTGTGCAAAGAGATGGTTCAATCCTGAGTGATTTTTGGCATTCTTCTGTATTTATTAGGCAACATGTCTGCAAATGGACCTCAGTTCCCTTGGGAAGGTTTATAGCAAAACGTGTAGGAATCAAGTTAATGAAGAAGTTGCAACTTCAAGACAGAAGCAGTGAAAGGGGACTGCTGGTTCTCCCAAGGGGAGGGCTATATGCAACAGCTGAATTCACCAGTTGAGAAATAGGAGTTCCACTCAAGTGGCCTAGCTCTGTATGTCATCAGCACCAAGTTTTGGATTGTGGGGTCTGAAGACAGAAGCTTATTCATGGGAAGCTTAAAAAGATGGAGCCAAGCAGAGCTGTGCTAAGTTTGTCTTAACCAGATGCATCTGAAGAGGCAGTTTGGGGCTTTTCCCATTATTCTTAATCATGAAGGCATTGACTCTATTTGTTGCTGCTGGAGGTATAGGTAATGTCAGGAAGCAGGGTCATATTGGATCCTACCTGTCAGAATCCAAGTGGGTTTTTATTTCAGTAGCAATTATAGGAATAATTATATTAATTCATGGGTTTTTTCATTCCTAATACAAAAGCACTCTTCAGTTTTAGCCTGACAAATCTATTCACTAGTCAAGCCCAAGCCTTCAACATATGCTAATCTTTTCTTATAGAACATTTTCTTCCCGTAGGTAAATGGAACAAAAGCAATTAGCTTGCTTCATTGCTCAGGTCCCTGCAGAATCCACTCTGGCAAGTATTGGAAGCATTTCCAGTTACTCACTTTCAGTACAAAAGCTGTTAAAAGCAGATCATAATGTAAAAATTTTTTTGTTTTTTTTTTGTTTTTGCTTTGCCTGTGCTTAATATAAAACCCATGTGTCTTTGCCGGGACAGTACACTCTGTGCTGTGCTCTGGGAACTGTAGTGCGCCAGCAGCTGAGCTCTGTATAGAAAAGAATTGGAAGACCTACAGTTCCCAACATGCCTGGCAGTAGCTCTGCCTGTAAAGAGTTCTGCTTGTCTCAAAGCTTAAAAGGGCAATTACAGAGTAGGAAAAGAGCTAAGACAGTTATAGAGTAAATAAAAGCCATTGTAAACGATGGCTGACTAGGAGACAAAACTGACTGATATTTAAACAGAAAGGGTGTTGCGCCTTTTCCGTAAGAGGAGAGTGTTCTCGAAGATATTTTTAAGCTAATTTAAAGTACTTGTCATACACGTCTTAATGCCTCCAATGAAAGCTAGAAGAGAAACGGGTACAGACATGGCTGTTCGCTGTAAACCTACCCTCTGGCATTCTTTGCGCTATGTATTGTGTACAGATTTCAACTTGTGCATGGCTTTCTGGGCAGCTGCAATCAGACCTTGCTGCTGGGTAATTCATACCAGATGGAGAACTCGGGCAGCTGCCTCCCATTTAAATTTGCATGGAAGTTCTAGAATTGCCAGAGCCTAGACTGTGGGAATGCGAATCTTCACTGGTCACACCTGGCAGCTGGGTGATCCCACAAAATGTATCCTTCAACATGCAGTGATAGTGTAAGGTTAAACGGCAGGCCCCATGAGGAATGTGAGGATGCCATTATCAAAATGTCTGCATAACTTTGCATTCTTGGAGAACTGGATAATTCTCCATTTCGTATAAGCGTTCTCATGAACGTGAGCTTTCAGTAACAAATATTAAATCAGACTTATCTACACCTAAGAGTTGTAGTGATGTAAGAAGAGGCATACTTAGACTGAGTCCATGACAGTAGCCTAGCTAGGAATGTAACTTGGGGTGGGCCCTAAGTTTTAGCGAATGTGTAATGACTAAAGATCTGATGTCACAGCAAATAATTTATACTGTAAATGATTTAAACTAGTTCAAATTTGACCCAGTAAGTTCTGACTTACCTATAAAACCCGTATCTATTCCCATGGTCCACTCACAAGGGGTTGCTCTAACATAATTAAGAGTGTGAAGAGATTCTGTTAATTCAGTACAACTTCTGCGTGTTGACAAAACCCCAGTTTTTGAGATAAGTGCACAGATGACCTTTTAAAATGTGAACAGTGCAAGAATACCTGAGTTTGAGGGCTGCCTGAAACAGTGTCTTGGAGAAAAGTGTGAATCATTTCTATTTAGCTGCATTGGATATTAACACTGGGGCCCAACAGCACCTCCCTTATTGGTGCGTTGCAGACCACATATTGTTGTATCGATAGGTTTGTCTATACAAGGTTTAATAGATTTCATAGACATTAAGGCTGGAAGAGACCTCGCAAGATCATCGGGTCCAGCCCCTGCCCAAGGTTAGATCACCCTCACAAGATAAGCACCCAAGCATTGAAAGTCCCCACCAAGAACAGCCTGGTGGCCCACCAGTTTATTTTAAGGTCTGATTTTAACCTGATTTAGTTAAATGTCCATGGAGCCTGATGTACCAGTTTACTTAAGCTAAAGCCAAACTTATTTTGGCTTAATTGAAGTTGGTTATATTCAGTTGAAACGACTCTTGTGCTGCCATCACAGCGGTTATAAAAATGTATACACTAATTTAATTTATTGGTTGAAAAATCATCTTAACCATCCTTGATATAATTTCTGCATGTGCACAAGGCCTAAGGAAAAAAACATTCTTTACACCCAAATATGGCAGTACTACCTGCAGTAAAATAATGACACAATAATGCATATGTCTATAACTCTTCCCATCTGAAGAGTTCATTCATTTAGCTTAATTCAATTACTTTGACCTCTTCATAGAAAGCAGTCCCTCAAAAAATGTTTCAGAAGCTGAAGGCTAAGACAGCAAATGATGGCTAGGCTGGAGCAGGTAACTCCCCTGTATTTGAAGATGCTCTCAAATTCACTCCTCAAATGCCTCCCTAAATATTCTTCTTCAGAGTGTGAGTGGGACTTGCCTTTCAGCCTCCATCTACAGAAAGCTCTTCCTTTTGTTCCTGTCCCAGGAAGGGGGGAAATGGGGAAAAAAGATAATGGTGATGTCAGATAAGGACAGAGATAGGGAGAGGTGAGAGGAAGATCAAGGGTGAATGAAATACAAGGAGAGTCAGATGAAGAAAGCAAAGCTTTTTGAGAAAAGTTTAAGTGGAAAGAGAAATGAACTGTAGGAATAACCTAGTCTGTAGGACACATGGAAAAACAATAATGCCAGAAGGTACAGGATGGAGAGGGGTAAAGAGGAAGAGGCATAGGACCTAAGAATGCCTTCATTTTCCCTTTGAAAATTTGACATTCATGCTAATGACCATCTGACCCGCACAGGAAGTGGGTGGAACTGGTGGATCCAACCCCAGTTACTTCTGTATCAGCACCGACATCGCAAAAACCCTTCCATTAAGCTTAGAAACAACTGACATATCTCTGCTGGGAATATCAGCCAAACCTACTTGCAAAGTTATATTGATATGACTGCAG